TAAATTGTTGCACTTAAGACGGAGTTTGTCTCATATATATTGTGTGAGTGTAACAGGATGCTTAAATATAATATTGTATCCAGGCTAAGATTTGGCTTTGGCATCTCCCAAATACCAGTGATAAGCATTACCACTTTGGCCAAATAATCTTGTTTCCTCCTATAAATGAAAAGAACACAATGCATTCTTGTCAGACAAGTACTTATTCAGCCATGTATAGAAATTTATGCAGTATCATACAAGTATGTACAAGAAGCATATCTTCTTCTATACCACTGATAATATTAATTCAAATTGCAAAATAACTTTCCAGGAGAAACATGTTGCTGCCACCAAATCTGATGGCACAAGAAACATATTCTAAAAAAAAAAAAACACACATTCCCTGCATTATGAAAGAGAAAAAAAACTTCGGATAGTGTATAAAAAAACCTCTGCTTTACGCAGTTCCCTGTGCAGGTTTATTGCGACTAACTGGTAAATGTGCCTTCAAATTGTCTGGGCCTGCTCCTGGAGTTAACAAACTTCCATACTGTTGCCACATTTCTATAGCCTTATTCACAATAATTTCTGCTGTTTCTTCTGGTATATTGTTCAAGCAGTTCAGAACATTATCTGACATTTTACACGACAGTAAATTTCGCCTTAAAGTTCTCAAAATAACAACAGCAACAAACACCAAAATTTTACATGAGCCACCTGCCAATTTATCCCATACCTTCCCAAGTGAAGATTCACTTATCACTCCTGCAAAGCACGAACACAGCCAGCTCTGCAATGGGATTACGTTCCAGGCTCCAATATCAAGAAGATGATTAAAAAGTATTTGATCCTCCTTCTCTAGTAGGTTCCAGGTGTATTCTGTTAATTTAGGCACATCATTGTAGAACTTATCAACAAACTGGAAAAATCCCTTTGAGATCCAATATATATCAACACTGTTGTCAAATACATTTAAAAGGGACTGTGAAATGGAACGAAGACTCTGGTATAAAGTGTTATTTATCTGGGTGTTCCAACTGTACTTTAGTTTCCCAGTTTCCAGCAACCACATTAAAAGGAATAAGTGTGGCTTAGGTGTTTGATCATTAGCCATTCTCATGAAATGTAGCGAATGCACCAGATCACTGTATTCTTGTTCTCTCTGCTCCATAACAAATTTATGACTATCCACATGAATTGGCAGAACATCAAAAAGGACCTTCCACACTAAGTTTCTATATATTCCAGGTACCGTAAATCTCAAACAGAATTGTTGTAATTTCACTTTATCTAGAGTCTTATTATCTTTGAGAAGAATTTCCAGTGATTTCTTCTCCTCAACGCTTCTGCAGCCAACTTTTTCGTAATAAGAAGCACGAAAATTTCTCTCATCCGCCGCCATACTCTATCCCACTCTATCCCTCTGTCCAAGTCCAAACCGGTCCAAATGGTCCAAACTGGTCCAAACAGTTGTGTTCGTATATCACAGTCAACGTCCGTGACGACCGTACATGTTACCACGGATCGCCATGAATCAATGGTTACCGTTCAAACCTGTATCAATTTAAAAAAAATTATGAGTTCCGACCTCCGACGATGGTCCATAACACTTAGAATTACTGGATTTTTGCACTCTGTCCAGTGACTGAGGTTAGTTCTTTCTAAGGAACTCAACAGATTAGGTCTCTGAACTCTCGCCTGAGGATGGAAGCAGATCCGGTTTTCGAAACGTAGTTTTCTATTTTCTAGATTAGAATATCGGACGATGGAAAAAGCCCCAAAACTCACTAATTCTGTCATCATTTAGTGTAATTTTTTTTTTATTTAATGAGGAATAGGCCACAGCAACATATCTATAATTAATTTAAGAGCTATGAGTTTCGTACTTATTTGTGTATGATAAAACAAGACTGTACGGAACGTAAATAAATTGAACATTTGAGAGCCCAGTAATTCTGAGTGTTATGGACTATCGTCGGAGATCGGAACCCTTAAAGAATCTAAATTGATACAGGTTTGAACGGTAACCTGCATTGATTCATGGTGATCCGTGGTAACCAGCGTAACCAGTACGGTCGTTGTCGGTGTTAGTTCGTTAGGCTAGCTGGAGCAGGTGGAGCTAGTAGGGCTGGATTTCGTTGTGCAGTAATTGGTAAAGTTAAGGCATTGCACGTATCTTTATTATTTCGTAAAATATATAGTGTTTGTATTTGATATTAAGAGGTAACACTTTATGGGACTCAGTTTTCACGTTGTTAATTCGTTACAAGGTAGGATGGGGTTGTTTGAGCTTGATTCATCTGGCGTAGGATGGGGATTGGTGGCCGCTCTGAACACGGTAACGAAAGTTCTGAATTTAAAAAAATTACAAATGATAAAACAATTCCGTCAGTTTTATCATTTGTGATAGTGTTAGTGTGACGGACCAGAATGAAACAAAATTAAAAAAAAATTTCGAAGTTCTTTAGCGGATGAGGATTAGGGTGCACAGAGATAGTTTGTTACCGAAATGTATTACCGAGATTGAGATCTGGAGTTTTGGGCATATTGTTTATTTCGTTCAGGATTTAGATCCTTAATTATGTAAAGATACCATTATCTTTCTTCATTTATTTCTAGGCGCATAGAAATGGCGAAGTCCAAGAATCATACCAATCACAATCAAAGTGAGTATACCAGTATGTAAAGTTTTTGTTAATGTATTCATTTCATTTCATTTATTTTGTGTCCATGGATCATTATACATGATATAAGACATGTCATTCTTGTGTCATTCTCTCCATAGATTATGAGCCACGTGTGAAGATGATATTTGAGCACCATACATTATGATAATCTGTAGAATGGAATGGTGGTTCACCCATAATTCTTTTTGTGTGTAATCGTTTAGTGATACCACTTGTTCAGATCAATTTTAAGTACACAAATTATCCTATATTGGATTTCCATACAAATATTGTCAGTGTGTCACATATCTAATACAGTCTTTAGTACTTTTATGGAGAAGTACTAGTGCTTAAGGAACCATACAGAGTGGACTATTCTGTTAGGCCTGCTTCCTTGCATGAATTGATATAAATTTTCATCCAATGACAATTTTTGGAGGAAAATGCAGAACTCTCAAAAGACTTGTGCAGTGAATATACAGGCTGTGGACAAAGTAATGGAAACACTAAGAAATTGAGGAATAGAATTTGTGTTGCTGCACTAAAGGAACTTATGTTTTGAGCACTGAATGTTCTTCCATTTATTTACACTTGTCAGTTCATTAGTGATTGCGTTGGGTGCCAGTTTGTGTGAAAGAATCAGAAAATGGGAGACTTGTCCGATAGTGAAAGAGGGCAGATTGTTGATGCATGTTTAGCTGGAGCATCTGTGACAGAAACTGCCACATTATTATGTGTATCGACAGCGGCAGTTTTTGAAAAAACACACAACTGTTGCAGAACTGAATATGTATTCATCTTGAAGACTGTTTCCACAAAAACTTTCTGATGTAAGCTTCACAAATCCAACATCCACAGTACAGCTGTGACTGCAAAACTTCTGATTACTGAAAGTACTGCTCAGATGCATAAATGATGGTGTTAACGACCATAAAACCTGGACCTCAGACAACTAGAAATGCACTTGTGATATGGTCAGATGAGTTGCCCTTCATGCTTTTCCCTACATCAGGAGATGGAGAATACCCGAGAAAGCCTTACAATCCAGAATGCCTGGTTCCCATAGTGGAGTATTGGGGAGGTTCTGTGATGGTGTGGGGTGGCAGTATCATGGTACAAGATTCTCTTAGTCCCGTTCTCTCCCTTCATGGCTGAATTACTGCAATTTAATACATGGAGAGGTTGGGTAATCAGGTACATCCCACGATTCAGATGTTCTTTCTGAACAGTGATGCAGTTTTTCAGGATGACAGTGCCCCTGTGCACACAGCTGAACTATTCAGTCATGGTTTGAAGAGCATGAAGGTGAACTTCAGCTTCTTCCCTGGCTAGCAGAATCACCAGATTTGAACACTGTTGAACCACTCATCAGATTTGGAGACCAGAGTGAGGAACAGATTGCCACCTCCAACATCTCTAAAGCAACTTTGTGTTCTTTGAGAAAAATGGTATAAAATTCCACTTGGGACTGTTCAAGACTTGCAAGAATCCATTCCAAGAAGGATTGCAGCTATGAAAGTGAAAGTTGATTCTGCACCATTCATAAATAAATATGTACAGTATCTATAGTGTTTCCATTCTTTCCACCCCCTGTATGTGCAGTGTACTGTATTTTTTTTTTTAGAATAAGTTAATTTTCCAACTTTCTGACTCTACTTTTCCATTGTCTTCTTGATTATGTCAGAAACTGAACAATGTTAAGTATGTAGCTGTATGAAAATGGAAAGATATTTTCAGTCTTTCTTTTGAATTAATTGTGAAATTTTATTGATAATAGTTGTTTGGTAATTAATTACACACAATTTCAAACAGTCAGTGAAAATCATTAAGATACATAACTATCTCAAATTGCGCTGTAAACAAGGGAGAGCTTTTCTTTTATCAGATTGGAATAATTATGTACATGGAAGTGTGAGAATGTACCTCCTTTATTCTTATTTGATGTTGATATACATTATAACCTATGTTTATTCATAACAGAAACTTGTAATGACTTGTGTATTTGAGATTTTATAAACCTTTGTGATACTGGCTTATGACTGTTGCAGTCTACAAACAGCAGTGATGAAAATACAGTTGCATGTGTGTATGACTACTAATGCCAAATTAAAAATACAGTTTTTGGGAGCCTGGTTTTAATAAATGGGAGAAAATATATATATATGATAGTGTGTAACTGGTATGCAGTTTGCTTAAACTATTGGTTCCATTATATACTGTAGAATCTAATCATTGGGTAATGTATGTAGCTCAATAATTCATAGGACAAAAGTATACAGTGTTAATACTGTTATGAGAATTAGTAGTAATTTTTAACATAAAGGAGAAAATGGGGATGCAGAAGTGATTTTAACCCAATTAATGTTCTGTTACAGACAGGAAAGCACATCGAAATGGAATTAAGAAACCAAAGCGATACAGGCATGAGTCAACCAGAGGAGTAAGTGAACTTGCATAAATCCTATTGAAATTTAGAAATTGATTTAGCTGTGCAGTAATACTACACTCAACTCTCTTTTATCCAGTGGCGGATAAACTGGTTTGCAGCTTAACCGGGGCTTTTTTGAGGCTTATTATGTTGTTTAATATTCATTCACTTTTGTTTCACATGGTGAGTTGTAACACTATTTTCATACTAGTGTGAACCGAGTTCTGCATTTTTTGGTCCCGTTATGCTAACACAATGTTCTAGGGTAGGGGTGAAAGAATGCAAGGATTTGTGGAAAGTTTCAAGGACAGATACACGGCCCCAGTTAGTCTCTTTGTATCGATCTTCAAGTGCGTTAGCAAAATGTTGGGGTGTAAAAGGAAGCGTGCTGTGTTAAGTATTCAACATAAACTTGAATTATCAATCAGATGAGAAAAAGAGGTGTAGCTAAACAGTTAGCAATGCAACCCAGTATTGGAGAACAAAGTGTTCGTGATTTAAAAAAAACAAAAGAATCAATTCATTTCCTTTGCTTCATCTTCTGATCCAAGCGGAATGAAGAAGAGAAAAACCATGAAAAAATCAGCATATGATGAGAAAGCTGTGCTCCTCATTGACAATGCGCCCTCACATCCTAATGAAAGTCTCCTGAGGTCAGATGATGGAAATATTTTTGTGAAATATTTTCCTCCTAATGTTACCGCACGTATCCAATCAATGGATCAAGGAGTTATCTCAAGTATGAAGAGAATCTACAGATCAAATTTGCTACAAAAGTACATCGATGAAGGCAATGATCTGACGTGTTTCTGGAAGTCTTTTTCAATGTTAAGATTTCAACAGAATGGGATACAGTAAAGCCATCTGTATTGAAAAATTAACAGAAGAAACTGATGCCTTTCATCACTAATGAAGATGATGAAATCCATGGATTCACTGGATTCAGTGAAAATGAGATAGCCATAGAATTGACAAAATTGGCTAACCAAGTTCATGGTAGTGAAGAAGTCAATGAGGAAAATATAAGAGAGTGGTTTGACTGTGACTCGTGTGAGCCGGGCTTCAAAATGTTAAGCAGTGACAAAATCATGGTGCTGCTCTTACTCATTTGGAATCCTTACTAGACTATCTTGAGAGTGAAGAGAACAGTTTATTAAGTGACAAGCTAATATTACATAGGCTTCGTACGGATATCCATAAAAAGGAAAATGCCATGAAAAGGCAAACGACAGTATTAAATTTTTTTAGTGTTAAGTGTGAATATTTGTAAAAAGTGGTGGATGTTGTTGAACACTGATTGAAATAATTAATTCATACTTCAGTGTAATGTAAAAGAAGTATTACATAGGCCATGAGATGACATAATGTGGCCATCGCTGAAGATAGTTCCGAGCAAGCCTACGAGCTAGTGTGTTATCAACGAGTTCTCAGTTCGCAAGCTACGAGCTACAGACGCGTGTGCGAGAATCAGT